AATGGAAATCACTGTATAACAGTTTCAATTAAAAAAAAAAAATGTCCAAAGTCGCTTTGTGAAAATTGTTTCTCTTGCGTTATTATATCTTCCGTGATTTAGAATGCGCTTTTTCGCACATTTTATAGATCGTTTTACTCCCCCACCTCCACATCCAGTACAGATAAATACAGCGTAGCTAAATAGATTTTTTCGACAAGTTAGTAGCTTTAGCTACTTGTTTAATTACTGGTTGACGCTTGTCCTCCTTATTTTCTGTAATCGGAGACTGACGAGAGATTCTGTCGGGAAGGTTAACACGAATCACGAGCAATTCTATTTTATATTTTAAATACTTGCTCATAAATATGTCCTTCAAATGGCTTAAATCTTTTTCTAACCACTCAACCACTTTCTCGTCCATTATTTGAGTCAGGATGCCACAGTACAATTACAAACTACTCGAAACGTGATAAAACAAGCATCGACACGTACCGACAGTGTTTGCTGTTATCTAAATAAAATTATATAGATGATTATCTAGAAAAAATTTTAGCGTTATCTTATCTTTATATAGATAATAAAAATAAGTATTATCTATATCTGCATCTTAGATGAAAGAAAGTGTTATCTTTACTAAATTATCTAAGATAACGTACAGATAATTTGATTTAGGGCCACATAAAAATAATATGGATGGCGTTGTAGCCCATGCATTTATGTGTGCGTCATATAACCTAACCTGAATATATTCTATATCCCCCTTTATAATTTAAATTTTTCTATAATTTTCTTATAATTTTTTCTACTGTGTTTACATGAAGTCTTAAAAATATTATCTGAAAATTATCTAGATGAATCATCATATAATTTTATCTTTTATCTAGATATATTCAAAACGAAATGATCTTTATCTTATCTAAGGTAAATTTATATATTTTTATCTTATCTTTATCTAGCTAATTTTAAAATCATCTATGCACAACACTGCGTACCGAGACGCATACCGGAAGTTCCATCACTAAAGTTGCTGCGAATTAAGAATACGTTCTTAATATTAAGAATATATTCTTAATTTAAGAAGACATTCCGAAAAACATGATGTTGAGAAGGAAATAGTCTTCCTCATTAAGTGAATCTATTAAGAGGATTTGTAAAGTATTAATTGCAACGACTCTGAAGCCTCTTACATTGGACAAACCAGACGACACCTTCTGACCAGAATTAAAGAACATAAAAAGAGACGAAAACTGCCACTCCGTGGTCAGCACATACCGTGCGTCACATGATCACGAGTTCAATTGGTCGGAACCAAGAATTTTACATAGCGAGCGCCTCAGGAGAAAAAGAGAAATCGCCGAAATGTTTTTTTATCAACAAAACCGATAACACGCTAAATTTACAAACAGACACCGAAAACTTTAATGTAATATACGGCCGTGTAATCAAAACTGTATAGTTCGCAATATCACCTTGTATTGTTCCTAAGACATGACTGACAAATTAATTCGAGCCCAGCTACCACAATGCTCACACGTACGCGTATATTTTATAACTCGACTCTGTCTTATTCGACGACGATGACTGACTTATTGTTAGTATCACTCGATAAGGATCCAAAAGAATAGGGTCGAAACGTCGTGTAACAAACTAATTAGAAAACTAGCCGCGCGGCTGGATTGACTATAAGTTTTCCATCTCAATTTGTAAAGTATACATTTCAAGAATTGAATGTTTTCGGTGTCCCGTTACGAGTGTATGGAATCTAAGCGAGCAGAAAAGGACTCGGGGAAACGGCGGTTTCCAGCGATTTTGAAATTTCGAGGGACGCAAGTTTCGGAGAAAGAAAGCGGGGTGGGCTAGGACAAGTCCCGAGAAACGAGATACATTCGAGACCTCTCGCCGTCTAGTTGGGGCGAGACGACGACGACGGAAGTCCCGAAAGGGTTAAGGCGACTCCGGCCGGAGTCGCGGCGTTGCGACGCCGTTTTCGGTCTCGCCTTCTCGCGGGGGTTCGCCGGCGCAGCTGGTCTCGCGCCTTGTTGGCCGTTCGGGGGCGATCAATAGACCGGGTGGCGGCGGAGGATGGTGGTTGTCCGGGCAGTGGCGAGTTAACCACCCCGGCGTCACATTTCTATTATCTAACGACAATCTCCGGTATCACGTCTCCATTATCTAGAAACGATCCCCGCCGAGATCCCGCGTATGTCCGCCACGCGGATACGGGGGGGGGGGGACGGAGTTATCTTCGAGCTGTTCATTGCGGAATCGTCGCGCGGCACTCTCCATTTCGGAGGCGCGCACATAACAGGTCGATCCGTGCGTTTTGCGATCGCTGATAAATGATAGCCGCTGAGTCCGGTCTTGGTCAGCGCGATCGCTCGGGGGACTCTCCATCGGGGATTCCTCGGTAAATTCCTTCCGTACTGTTCCTGCTTTTTTTTTTCTTTTGCGAGAGCTACCCCGCTGATACACTCTTATATCATAAATTTTGATGCGATCCTTAATGCCGTACAGAGTGCACCGGCGGTATCTCGCGTAAAGTATAGAAGCGCGATGCAAATGCGGAATTTGAAAAATCGACGTATCTCGCATGCCTGTACGAAGATACGCTGCTACAGTACGGTATACAAGCGAGTCTCGCAAACGATTAAGAGAGGAAAAGGTTGATCGCAGCTCGGGGCACGTCCGCGGCCGACACGTAAAAATCTCCCCGGTCACGTGACGCGCGTAAATCGTTACGCTACGTGCGGGTCCACGCGCGCGAGCCACGCTCTTTTCTCGCGAAATAACATGTTTGTTCATTGGCGCCGTTTAATTTACGGCCCTGCCCGCGGGCTCGTCGGGTCGCGAGGCACGAGCTCCGATTGGCCGGCGGCGATTTCGCGGGTTCGACGAGTCGCGCGTGCGATCGCGCCGCCAAGCGAGCAGCCTCCTTCGCTCCTCCGTCAGTCGGTGGCGGCGCGTCGCCGTGTTCGCGTGTCGCGTGCGTGCGCTCCCTCGATGCCCCTCGGCGCCCTACGTCGCGCCCCCCCCGCCGCTCCCGCTGTGACATCATTCGCATCATTCGACGTCATTGTCTAACCCTTTTATCGGTAAATCGGATCGCCCGCCTTTCCCGCCGTATAGGCCCGCTCCTTTCGGACGCGAGCTCGCGCGATATAAGAGAGAATGAAGTTCCTTCAACTAATTGCGGCGCGTGTTATTTTTACTCCGCGTACTTCCAGCCTCTCCGATACCGAGAGTGAGGAAAATCGGCGGTTTAATTCGCCGCCACGATGTCGCCACTTCTCGCGACCGGTTTCGTAAAACATCGTAATGAACGTGACACGAGACGATGCACAGTGGTTTCTACTCAAATGTTGATATAAACCGGGGGATATCGGAGTGTTCTCTACGAGGGCTCGTTTAAATTCATTTATGAGAATTAAGTATCGCGATATCGACTTGGAAAATCGTTCGCGTTTGAAGGGATTATTCACAAAGACTTATTCAAGTCTTCCCTCGCGATCGACGCACGTTACTCGTCGCGTCACTTAAAACTCGGGGCCCGATTAAATTAATAATTCTACTTGATTGAGCATTCCAACGCTTCGTTTCTGCGAGTGCACATGTACACAGCTATGTGCACAAGCTGTTTTCTTCATCGAATTATTTATACGCATGCGCGATAACAATAATTTTACAAAAACATTTTTCAAAGACGCAGGGAACGAGAGCTGACTCGCTTGTGGAATCCCGACGAGGAATCGAATCCTTTCGCGCGACTTGTCGCGCCCACGCGAAGCGACACGGCTGCGAATTCGGGGATCACCCTGCACCTTCGGCGGGCGTGAGCGCCGAAAGTCTCCGAGCTGGCGTGACGGAGTGCGACACGCGTGTTCTCTCGGCTGTCCTCCCGGCGCCGCGTATCTCCCTTCCGCGGGGCGGAGTTTGATCGGGGCGCGAGGAAGATGTAAAAACCTCCCCGGAAGTGTCCCCTCCGCCCCCGGAAACTGCGCCGCACGTTGGCGGTGCCGCGAATGGTACGTCCGACGTTATCGTCGACGTCCACCTCGCTCTCGCCCGCGCGTAACAAAACGCGCGTTCGCGCGGCGCGGCGATTGAAGCTCGCAATTTTCTGCGCGGGTGGTTGCATGTGCGCGTATACGTTTGCGGGAGCGAGTGATTTCGTGAATAGGTAGATGCTGGGGGGGGGGGGGGGAAGATTGCCTATAGTGTCGTGCCCCCCCAGCCTCCACGCAGAGAAGTCCGTCACGGTGGTTTTAGCGGGTTAACTCGGCACCGCACAACCCGCCTCTTCCCCCGAAGGGGTGGGTATCCGAAGGGATTTCCACTACGTATATAAAAAAGACGAAACAGGCGGATGAATACGGGCGGATTTTGCAGCGCGAGCCGCATAATTGCCGGCTGCTAATTCCGCGCGCGGTATAAAAGTCAAGCACGCAGCCGAGCACCGGGGCCGAGCCGGCGTATAAATAAACGTTTTGCGTAACGTTTTGTTTATTGCTTCTGCCTGGATGGGTGAGAACGGCGGCTGCTCCGCGCCGCGAATTATTCCCTGGAACAGCCGGAGATTCTCACGAGGGGGTTAACATTTATCGCGCGAGAGGACGATGGAGAACGAATTAAGGATGTTTTGTACGCACATTCGTTGCAAAAAGTAACTGAAATTCGATTTTGAATACGTTCGCTTCTCGTGCAGCTTGGGTTGCGTCAAATCTTACTATTTATTCGTAGCTACACGGAGAGAATTTTCTCTTAAAATTTATCCCGAACATCGTGTAATCGTGAGACAACGTGGCATTTCGAAGAACTTTATGAGAGTTTTTTTTTAAATTTTACTAGTAAAATGTGTACTAATTTTAAGTATAATTACTAGTAAAATATATGGTAAAATTTCCAAAATCTCTCCTAAAGTTCTTGGAAATGCCACGTTGTCTCACGATTTTAAATTAAAAGTATGGTAAAATTTCAAAAAACTCCCATAAAATTCTGCGAAATGCCACGTTGTCTCACGATTACATTGATTTTCAGGGTAAATTTTAAGAGGAAATTATCCCCGTGTGGAGTTCAGAAACGTATTTTCGATTTTTCCATCCCTTTTCGGCCATTTGAGTCAACGCAGTTTTCTATAACTTTACGAGTAAATTCACTAGAAATAAAAATTCTTATATAATTTGTGATTGCTTCGGTGAAACGACTTTGGATTTGTTTACAAGTCTCCGAACATTAGCGCGGACAATCTGTAAAAGTTTTGTTGAATTCAATATTTCCAAAACAGGTACTAAACATCCTTAAAACGTGGCACCATCGAAGTGTGAGACTGACGAATTGTTTCCCTGCTCGAAGGTCGAGAACAGTCACGCACTTGAAATGGAATGATCCTTTTAAGAAACGCTCGTTTCAAGAACCTGATAAATAATTCGAAATGACGGAAATAAAAAAAGAACGTTAAAAATATCGGAGTTACGTGACAATTTATATGATTATTGACGACGTAATTAACAGTTCTCGCGTTGGAAATACGCATAAGCGTCGCTTCATTATTCAGTACCGCACATAATCCATTATTATTTGGCTTAGCCATCAATTATGCACCAAGGCCATACTCACCTGTATCTCGATAAACAGATGCTGTTTACCGGCGCGTTGTTAAAGACCCAATCGCGATTAAGTGGCAAAGTTGAATCTTTTATTCCTTGGACGCGAATTTATCGTTTACTATCGGCTACTTTTAACTATGACCGAGCACCGGAACTACGAATATTTCCGGCACAGTAAATATTCGCGTCGAGCAGGATGCGATATTTACGTATCGCTGAGCTCGAGTAGCAGCCTGCGATACGATCGACGTGGTTTGCGTTCGCCACAACCCGCAATCAAGACGAGTTGTCAAAGAATTTAGTTCAATCAGAGAAGTTGAGCGGCGCACAGCTCGGCTATAACAATAGTAATTCTCGGTGCCTATTAATTTTCTTCAGTTTCGATATATTTTTCTCCCCGAGAAACGAGTCCGCAATTTTCAATTCTAAATGGTTCTTCGATTTTACGCAGTCCTTTTGTAACGGTTAAAAAAATATATGTTGTTATCCTTCATCGGCAGTATCTATCAGTAATTTCAACATTATGCGAATTATCGTTACGATACTTAGAAAAATTTAATAGACGATAAAAGTTAATTATTATTTTCTTCCCTCTATTATTCACTTGTTCGTCGGTGCCTTCGTTTTCCAAGTCTGGCCACTATCCTCGAGACTTGATCCTTGAAAAGATCCGCTATTATACATACACGGACGCGTGAAATCGGAGGATTCTCGAATACTATCTACGTAGCAATCGCTAGCCTGGTACTTAAAATTCAGACGTAACGCGATATGGAGATATCTTCTTTCTACCATTGCAGAGGATTACACTTGACGACGCAAAATGGAGACGTCACTCGTGATTCCCGGCGAGGAAGGTCTCTCGAGGTGTCGCGAAGATGTCGAACGCGGCGGCGTTCGGTATCTCTGAAGGGGAGATGCACTTTGCCAAGATGCACGAGTGATACAGGACAGGCTCCGACAAAATGTTGATCAAGGAGTATCGCATACCGTTGCCTCTCACGGTAGAGGAGTATCGAATCGCCCAGCTGTACATGATAGCGGTAATTATCGCGATTAACCGGCCGCATCGCGAGAAAGGAGAGTGGCGATTTAAGGTAGTTGTTTCGCGACAGTAATGCTCAAAAATTCCTTCCAGACAGGAACCAGCACTCAATTATTACAATGATATATCTTGGTGCAATATTGTTCTAAAGAATACACTTACGATTAATACATAATGTAAAATAGATTCGAAAGATTGTAGTTTGAGGTGCTGTTGCCACATCTCTTACGCTACACTCATGTCTACTACATAATTCTACCCATTTTT